TCTCAAAGCAAGGCTTACAAGATATATAACAAGCGAACTCAATGTGTTGAGGAGAGTGTCCATGTTATCTTTGATGAATCTTATCCATCATGTGAGAAGAGTGCTGAGGAATATCAAGATGGAGAACCCTCACTTGTTCCTGGTGAAGTCATTAACATGACAAATGGAAAGACAGACATGATGAGTCAAGTAAAAGAGCCAAATGAAGACAATGCTGCCTCATCATCAACAGAACCAAGCACCTCAATCACGACCACAGAAGCTGAAGAAAGGGTAGTTGATACAGTTCAGGGAACTCCACTAGCACCTGAAAGAAGGATAGAGGAAGACCAGCCAAACATACTTCCCTCCTCTCAGAGTGAACCTCAGATGTCTAATTGGAGACACCAAAGCTCTCACCCTATAGACAACATCATCACTCCTCTAGACTCTGGAGTACAAACCAGGTCAAGAGCCAGAAATTCACTTGCCTTCTCAGCGTTTCTCTCCCAGATAGAACCCAAAAACATCAAGGAAGCTTTGAAAGATGCAGACTGGATTACCGCCATGCAAGAAGAACTGCACCAGTTTGAGAGAAACAGTGTGTGGCACCTGGTACCCAGACCCCCAGATAGAACCATTATAGGAACCAGGTGGGTGTTCAGAAACAAGCTTGATGAACATGGAATTACCACAAGAAACAAGGCAAGGCTAGTTGTCCAAGGCTACAATCAAGATGAAGGGATTGACTATGATGAAACGTTTGCTCCAGTGGCCCGGATGGAAGCTATCAGAATTTTTAATCGCTTTTGCATCTCATATGGAATTCACCTTGTTCCAAAAAAATCCCAAAACGTTGGGAATTATATACATGTTTTTCCAAAATAAAGTTGGAAAATATGTTTTGAAAACGTATGTCCAAACACATTTTCATCTTCAAACCAAACTTCACCCAAATCAGATTTTCAAAATAAATTTGGGATCTATGGCCAAACGCTAGCTTAGCCAAGAGAGTTCTTTCAAAGTCTTATTATTAAAAAGAGTTAATACCCTAAAATCTCCTTTTACCTATAACTTTGTGTGAGTTACCTATTTAAACTATAGAGTATTCCCAAAACCTCCTTAAACTATATTCCCTTTCATATTAAGAACCGCAAGGGGCCAAATATAGCCATGTACTATGAGAAAAGGTTTAAATATAGAGTTAATACCCTAAAATCCCCCTAAACTGTTATGTTTTTGTCAGTTTTCTACTTAGACTATTCAGTGTCCCCAAAACCCCCCTGAACTATATTACCCTTCATATTAAAAATACCTCATTGTATACTTAGAGGTGCGTGTAGTACACGCTCCTAATTATTTAAAAAACATGCCATATAGCACTACACGTGGCTATTCAACTCAGCCTAAAACCCGCCTAAACTATCACCATTTTGTCAGTTACCTACTTAAACTATCTGGTGTCCCCAAAGGACCCCCCCCCCCCCCGAACTATATTTTCCTATATATTAAAACCCCATGTTGCGTCTGTCTAACTATATTAACTTGTGATTTTTAAAGAGTTTTTTATACAATTTACTCATGATGTATTACTCTGGGATGATTGATTAATTTTATGAGTTTTGGCCATAATAATATAAATGCACTGTGTTAATTTTAGGTTTAATTGTGATTGTGAATTATGCTAAACTCCAATTGAATAAGTCATTTATATTCATTTTGTAGTACAGAAAAATATAAATAAAGGCATATAGTGTTTCTTAAAAATAATCTTATATTACATAAAAAAGATTACACAAAATAAAATTTCGCAAATAAAAATTTAATTAGCCAACAAATACAATTACATTTTCTAATTCCAGATTACATAAAGAAGGTTCAAGATATTCAACTTTATTCTCTACAAGGTGTTGAGTTTAATAAGAATGGTATTCTTTCAATAATATGTGCAAGAAACGAAAGAAGACTAAAATAAGAATGAGAATAAATCATTTCAGAGGAAACAAGAGAGGGAGAAATTTTTTCAGAGGAAATCCATATGGCGAACTGAAGAAAAAAGATTCAAAAATGTAAGAAAAATGGAAAAATGGTTAAAAAATAAGGACGAAAGGTGGATATAACTGAAATATGGAGAATATTTATTAAAAAGAATAAATGTGAAAGAGGGTTAGGCTAATTAGCCATTATTTTCTGTCATATGAGCCATTTTGATGGCTTTCTTCAGTTGTCACACGCTCTCAAGCGAGTGTTTGCACACGTTATGCCAGGTCAGCGACGAGGGGGTTTTAATACGAAGGACAATATAATTCAGGGGGTTTTTGGGGACACTGAATAGTTTAAGTAGGAAACTAACAAAAATGTTATATTTTAAGGGGGTTTTAGGGTATTAACTCTTAAATATATCTTTCATTATACTTTTTGTCCAAAAATATCACTGTCGTAATACTATTGGTTCAAATATACACTTCTTCTGTTAAGTTTGTCTAAGGTAGACATCCAATCCTATGTGACACTGATATTTGATGAGGTGGATGCCACATGGCATGCCACCTCAGCGCCCCTAATCCATATACAAAAGATTAAATTTAAAATACAATATTTTTTATGGTAACAGTAATGGTGGCAATAGTGGTGGGGAAAAAGAACATTTTAGTGATAGAAAAAAAATAGAAGGGAGGGGTAAAATGGGTTAGGGGCGTTGAGGTGGCAAGCCATGTGGCATCCACCTCATCAAATGTTAGTGCCACATAGGATTGGATGTCCACTTTGGACAAACTTAACGGAAAAGGATTATATTTGAACCAATAGTATAACGACATGGGTATATATGGACTCAAAGTATAACGAGCGATACATTTAAACCTTTTCTGAGAGTACAAAGATATATTTGGCCCTTTTCTGTATTAAACATCCCTCGGTTGAATTTTTAGAGGTGCGTCTGGCACACCAATTAACTAAAATGTGTCATGTGGCACTACACATAGCTATTTAACTCAACCTAAAATTCCCCCAAAATATCTGTGTCCCCAAAACCCCCTTGAACTATATTTCTCTATATACTAAAAATTTCCCGTTGAATTCTTAGAGGTGTGTCTGTGTAACTATGAGGGTGTTTGGATGGGCTTTTAAGCTAATCAAATCAGCTTTTAAGCTCTTTTTAGCTTTTTTTAGTGTTTGACAAAGTTAAAAATTGCTTAAAATAAGTTAAAAACTGCTTAAAACGAGCCAAATGCAATAAGCTGGGCAAACCTAACTTATTGCTTTTGGCTTAAAAACTATTTTTGCTGAAAAGCCACTTTTTTAAGCCAATGCTCTATATCAACTTATGGTTTGTACTAAGTTTTTGATGTAGCTAGCTTACTCGTGGCATATTACTCTCGAATGATTGATTAATTTTAGGCATTTTTGGCTAAAGTAGGACCTAATACAACTGTGTTATTTTCAGCTTTAATTGTGGTTGTGTTGTATGCTAGATTCCAGTTGAATAAGTCCTTGTTTATATTTGCTTTGCAGCCAAAAAAAAAAAGAAGAAGATAGCATGTAGTGTTGGATTCAACTTTATTCTCTATAAGTGTTGGATTCAATAAGAAGATTTAAATGGGTGTTATTTCAATAATATGGGTAAGAAATAAAAGAAGACTAAAATAAGAAAAGAAAAAAATAATAATTTTGGAAGAACACGAGAGGTGAAAATTTTCCAGAGGAAACTAATATGGAGAACTGAAGAAGAAATGTTAAAAAAATGAGGAAGAAAGATGAAAAAAATAAAGGAAAAAGGTAAAAAGAAATGAAAGAAGAAATGTAAAAAAATGCCAAAATTGAGGACCGAACATGAAGAAAGAATTACTATTGTTCATTAGGTCATTTATGATGGGCCCACAAAATTTAAGGAGATTCGGGGCTCGTCGCTCGAATGCTGGATTCCTATTTTGTGGCCCTAAAATGCCAAAAAAAGAGGAACGGTCACGGCGATGCAATGACTATGGTTCGTTAGGTCGTTTCTGATGGACCCATAAAATTTTAAACGATTAGGCAATTTGGAGCCTGCCGCTCGAATTCATAAAGATGGCACGGGCATCAGCACAAGAAAAAGTGGAACGGTCATGTTGAGCTGATGGAGACCATTTTGGTTCCAAATTTGTTTAAGAATCATATTTTAATATGTTGTTTATTTGTAATGATAGGAATTAGTATTCGGCAGCACAAGAATCTAAAATCTTGAAGAAAATTACGAAGACCACAATTTTAGAAGGGAAAGGAACGTATTAATGGTTAACATACAACACAAACTAATTAGAGAATATTGGAACTAGAACACAACCTTGGAGTTTTATGTCCAAACATTCTATAGACTAACAGCTCTCGGCTATCAAAAATCAAAGTTTTTGTCTAAACACTTTGTGGTTGAAGTTGTATGTGAAGAGCATGCACTAAGGTATATTGTACATGAGAATACAATTAGCAATAAGGAAATTTAAGAAAAGGCCAAGCTAGTGCTCTTGTTTAGACTGGACCAGTACTCATCCTCCATTTCCTCCACTTGCTTTGTGGCATTAGCCTTTTTTTCAACAAAGGCCTTAAGTTGTTGAGGGTTATAAGGTGGTGGAAGTGTGCATGGTTCAGTATTACTTGGAGACTTCTCTAAGGCTTCTTCCATAAACTTCCTCCAAATACCATTTGAAAGACATGCCAATGATTCTGAACATATTTCAATTGCATTTGGAGGAACAACTGGATTAAACTTCTGCAACTTCGCGTATTCATTCAGCAGATGGTACATATAATCAAATACATGTTCCATCTTCATGTCTTCATGAATAAAATCACTTCCTGCTTTCCCAATGGCCTGTGCCTGAAATTCTCAAATTCAAAGGTTGTCAAAGAAGCACTAGTGAATACATAGAATTGGAAAAGCATACTAATGTTGCTTGATGTTAGCATGTTACGACGTTGATTAGCTAGACCTGGATGGCTATTAGATTAGAAAAGCTTCCATCTTCTACTAAAACTCGAGCAGTTTCTTGAAAACTATTCAATATGGTACAACTAGACTATATTAAGTTTACCATGTCGGTGTGATTGTTTCCCCATTGAACAGCAAATTTGAGAGATCTACACTTATCAGTGTCTCTAATAGGCCAGTAATGCTGCTGTGGAATCATCCCTCTCATGAAGAAATCATAGTACTGAGGCGTTATGTACAATGTTGGAGAATCGCAGGCAAATATGTACTTCTCGCTCACTGACCATGCCCACCCTTCTACATATATCTTAAATCTGATAATTTCCACCAATTTTCAAATTTCAATCTCCCCAAAACAATAAAATATTAGCAAAACAAGAGTAAATCTTTGGAATATTAACCTGTGGGTGCATTGGTCTTCAATATTTGATTCCTTGTAACCCTTTTTGGACTGATCAGTCCAGTCCTGACATTATCATTTGAAGACAAATTAAAGGTCATGTTTTATCTAAATGTGTGTTGATGATGGCAGTAATAGTAGAAGAGAAACCTGGATATATAAGAGAGTATCCCAATTCTGATTATGAGTGACATTACACTTCATAAGGTCTTTCCTGACTGGAGAAACATTAGGATTTCCCCTCCAATAAGCAAAGGGTATCCTCTCCTTCCAACTGCTTCTCTTGTTCCCTTCTTTTATCTTCTTCATCATACTTCTCCAAGGTCTTATATTTGTCTCTCCCCTATATACAATAAAACCAAAACACAGTCATCTGTCATTACTAGTGTAAATCCTAGAAAAGGGCAGGCCGGTGCACATAGCATCCCGCATTCACGAATGGTCCGGGGAAGGGCCACACTCCTAGGGGTGTGATGTAGACAGTCTACCCTAATGCAAGCATTAATGGTTGCTTCCACGGCTCGAACCTGTGACCTATAAGTCACACGGAGACAACTTTACCGTTGCTCCAAAGCTCCCTTCACTAGTGTAAATCCTATATAAAAAAAATATTAAGGGTGAAAAGAAGGTTAAGTACCAGCCCCAATATGACCAATCTGGGAAAACAATATCCAGACTTTCCCAATCCGAACAATACCGGAACAACGGGGGTGGGCCAGAGTTAGGCTGCTGGAAGTCCTTAGCGGCGATGACCGGCCGGTCATCTGTATTAAACATGATCTCCAAATTAGGCAATTTTCCAGGGTACCACCTTAGGAGTTGTACAATCCCATACATGGTGAATAAATGCCTAGTTTCAATAGATTTCTTAGGATATCGTTCAACGTAAATTTTCCTATCCAATATTATTAATCTGAAGTGAGCATGTGTTTTGGCTTTCTCCAACATTTCCCTAGTGATTCCAGTCTTTTGCCAATGCCTTAAATCTTCATGAATCCATCTAAAATACTCGGGGCATGTTGAGTTGCTAGGATTTAAGGGTCTGTAAGATGTAGGATAGTTTCTTGGACATGTATTGGTCTTGTTCCATGCATCGCAATCCAAAGGGTATTCAAGAACCTGAGGCCTGATACTTGAGTTAACTAATTTTCGATAGAAATGACCTGAGTACTTTGTCTGCACAAATTTAAAGAAGCTGTCAATTAATTATCTGAGTAGGAGAATCAAATGGTAAATTACTAGTAGATCTACATGTAACAGTCTGTAATAATTGGAATCGCTAAAGCAGTGACCTATTCAAGGTCTCGTGCAGCCTAAGAACCATTAAAGCAGTGACCACTCTGGAATGACAGTAAAGAATTTTTACACTATCAAATATATGCATTGACTTACAAGATCAATCCATCCAGCAAACGACAAGGCTGAAGCTATGACGACAAACAAGAAAATTAGCAATGCTGTAACGAAGGTTGTCGCTGTGGATCTCTTCTTCAGATATTTCCATCTTGCAGCTCCCACCACTGCATTCTTTTGCGGCAGAACATTGATCATCAACTTCTCGTTCCTTTCTTTCATGTTTCCTCCACCTCCTATAAAAATTCATCTAAAAAATTTATGTTTAGGCAGAGAAATTGGTATTTCTAAGTCAAAATTGAAACTTTTCAGAGACCATGGAAGTATTTTGAAACTATATATATTAGTCTTGTTCAAGTCTTTAGACATTCCAGTCTCCAAGTTGATCTCCACAATCTGATGCTCTTTCTGCCCTTTAGGTAAGTGTTTAAATTCTTGTAATTAGCTTTCAATTTAGAGTACTACTGCTAGAAGAAATCAATTTGCAAGTATATCCAAACTCCATCTGCCCTTTAGGTAAGTGATTAATTTCTTGCAAAATAAATTCCATGGTAAACTGTTCATTAACTAGTCTCAAGTTGTACGCGCTTCGTGCAGTCATGAAAATATTTTATTTTATTTTATCCACAGACTCTGCTTTTCATTATCTGAAAGCCAAAGTTTTTACTTGATCTAGCTTTTTCCTCAAGATAAAGAAAAGAAGATAGCAGGATTACTTTCCAGAAGAAATATAATGAAATAAACAAGCTTTTTATTTATGTATAACAACTGACAATGAGAAACTGTTAAACTAGAGATGCAGCAAGTGGCCCTCAAGATATCAGCAAAAGAAATATAGTGAAACTAAACATAGTAGATCATTTCTGATTCAACCACCAGAAAGGCTACTTATGGTCCTAAGCAGAGATTTAAACTAAAGACTGGCTTTGGCAAACCGGGGAAGAGATAATGTCCAAAGTGAAGCTAGCCAGCTATCTCCACATAAATGGAACACTGATGATGATGGAACGTTTAAGCCTTTTATCTTTCATAAACACTTTTACGCGTGGTCCTATGATCGATGGTTAAGTTGTATGGTGGGATAATTAGGATCGCTCCACCCTTAACCAGAAGCCTTCGATTTGAGCCCTGAAAATGAAGAACTTCTTCGTACGGATATCTTCCTTAATGGACATATCAGGCATGAATCCAGATAAATAGGGCAATGAGTTTCGAATACCGAATGACTTATATAGAAGAAACTCTAGAAGAGATATATAGCATTTGTAAACAAGTACACTAAAGAACAAGATTGCCAGTGATTATTCCAAGAGGAATAGAGGTTGAAGTTCTATGTGAAGAGTACTAAGGTATTATACATGAGGATACAATTAGCAAGGGAATTTAAGAAAAGGACCAAGCTAGTGCTTCTTGTTTAGCCGGGACCAGTACTCATCCTCCATTGCCTCCACTTGCTTTGTAGCCTTAACTTTTTGTTCAACAAAGGCCTTAAGTTGTTGAGGGTTATAAGGTGGTGGAAGTGTGCATGGTTCAGTATTACTCGGAGACTTCTCTAAGGCTTCTTCCATAAACTTCCTCCAAATACCATCTGAAGGACATGCCAATGATTCTGAACATATTTCAGTTGCATTTGGAGGAACAACTGGATTAAACTTCTGCAACTTTGCATATTCATTCAGCAGATGGTATATATAATCAAATACATGTTCCATCTTCATGTCTTCATGAATAAAGTCACTTCCTGCCTTCCCTATTGCTTGTGCCTGATATTCTCAAATTAAAAAAAAAATAGTTGTAATTAAAGAAACATTATAAACAAACTGAATTGGAAAAGCATACTATTGTTGCCTGATGTTAGTGACACAGATGACTACTAGGCTCAGAGAGCTGCTTCTGCTAAAGCTCGAGTAGTTTCTTGAAAAATTTACGCATATAGCACAGCTTCTACTCTATTAAGTCATAGGCCTTGAATTTATCTCAGTTTCAGATACAACCCTTGTATATCTCTTCAAGAGTTATACAATCAGTTTGTTATAATATATTTCTAAATTCAGTCTCCGAATCAGTTTCAGTATCACTTTCATACTCCAAATATGGTATTCTTAGAGAATATCTTTTTCTCTCCCTAAAAACTATGTAAAAATGTATTCAGAGAGAGTTTGCATAATTTATGAATTCTGCTTAGCATGTACCTAAACACATGAATTTCTCAGAATCAGACCTTTTTTTTGTGACGAAAGGGGAGAAAGGACAACCTGTTGATATGTGATAGAGAAAAACTATACCTGAAGACACACACACACACACATGACGGATGTGGAAATTGAAGGTATACCTTATCGGTGTGATTGTTTCCCCATTGAACAGCAAACTTCAAAGACTTGCACTTATCAGTATCTCTAATGGGCCAGTAATGCTGTTGCGGGATCATCCCTCTCATGAAGAAATCATAGTAACGTGGAGTTATGTACAATGTCGGAGAATCGCAGGCAAATATGTACTTCTCACTCACTGACCATGCCCATCCTTCTACATATATTTTAAATCTAGCAATTTTGCACCAATTTTCAAATCAATCAGCCCCAAAAGCATATTTAACAAAATAATTAGCATATAGAAAAGATAAAATTTTTGGAATATTAACCTGTGGGTGCATTGGTCTTCAATATTTGATTCTTTGTACCCCTTTTTGGATTGATCAACCCAATCCTGAGATTATCATTTGTAGACATATTAAAGATCATGTTATTATGTAAATGTCTGTTGATGATGGCAGTAATAATAGGAAAAAAATACCTGGATATATAACAGAGTATCCCAATTCTGTTTTGGAGTAACATTACACTTCATAAGATCTTTCCTAATTGGAGAAACCTTAGGATTTCCCCTCCAATAAGCAAAGGGTATTCTCTCCTTCCAACTGCTTTTCTTATTCCCTTCTTTTATATTCTTCACCATACTTCTCCATGGTCTTATATTTGTCTCTGCCCTATAAACAATAAACCAAACACAATCATCTTTTACAACTAGTTAAGTTGAAGGTGGAGGGCGCAGAAGCGGAGTCAGAATTTCGACTTTATGGGTTCTAGATTTTAGAACGACGACTTCAATAGCTGATAACTGGTTCTAAATTTTATTTGTATGTACTTAATGAGTTTCTTAATACAAATACATTGTTTGAGCAAAATTTATTGAGTTCGGCCGAACCCGTATCCGAACTTCTACCTCTGCCCCCTAGGAGGGAGTCTAAACTTTTGACCTAAGTCATAGTAAAGTTTCTCTTTTTCTTTCTTTTGAAAAGATAAAAGAATATAATTCCTAAAATTTCAGACCATTTAATGAGCAATAATAGACACGGATTACCACTAGTTTTAAGTAGAAAAAATTTACTGGCACACAATATTTCGTCAACTTTCGGTGAATAAATGGAAGAAATAAAATGTTATGAAATGCATGTTAGTACCACAAAAAAAAAATGAAGGATATGAAAGAAGGTTAATTACCATCCCCAAAATGACCAATCAGGGAAAACAATATCCATACTCCGCCAATCTGAACAGTACCGGAACAACGGCGGTGGACCGGAGTTAGGTTGCCGGAAGTCCTTGGCGGCGACGACGGGCCGATCATTGGTGTCAAACATGATCTCCAAATCAGGCAATTTCCCAGGGTACCACCTTAGAAGTTGTACAATCCCATACATTGTGAATAAATGTCTAGTTTGAATAGAGTATTTTTCATATCGTTCAATATAAATTTTCCCATCCAATATTACTAATCTAAAATTAGCATATTTTTTGGCTTTCTCCAATATTTCCCGAGTGATTCCTGTGTTTTTCCAATGCCTTAAATCTTCATGAATCCATCTGAAATATTCAGGGCATGTTAAGTTGTTAGGATTTAAGGGTTTATAGGACGTAGGATAGGTTCTTGGACATGTATTAGTCTTGTTCCATGCATTGCAATCCAGAGGATATTCGAAAATCTGATGTTTGATAGTTGAGTTTGCTACTTTTTTATAGAAATGACCTGAGTACTTTGCCTGTGAAAATTTAAACAAGAAAATGTCAATTAATTATTCAAGTAGGAGAATCAAATGGTAAATTACTAAAAAGTCAACCAATTCAAGTAGGAGAATCAAAGAGTGATTTGAAAAACAAGGGTTCTTGTTCTTCCACACTATCAGTGTATATAAGTAAATTTTCCAGTTTACAATTGCGACCAAGCCGTTCATTTAAAGAGAAAAGTTAAAGAGTAACTCCTTCGTTCTCTTTATAATGTGCGCAAGTGTAGACAGGACGGGTTGGTTCGGGTGTTTCAATTATCAAACCAAACCAATTGTGTCGGGTTATTAAATTCAAAGATCAAACCAAACCAATTGTGTCGGGTTATTAAATTCAAAGATCAAATCAAACCAACAAAAGTCGGGTTTTTCAATCTCGGGTTTTCTTGGGTTTTCGGTTTTTTCGGGTTTTCCCCCGGCAAAGTCTTCATAGCACAAACATATAACTTGTGCTTCAAATATTTCTTTAGTCCTAGTAAGATACAACTATATAAGGTGTTTCCCCAAAAAATAATACAAAATATGAGATGTGTCATGGCAATGTCCTAAAATATTCAACAATAAAGATAATAAAATCGCAGAAAATAAATATTGCTAATTAATAAGCCATAATAAAAATAAACATAATTTAAAAATATTAAGTCATGATAAAATAAGTACGACTAAGTATTATTAATATCATGATTAAACACTAAAGAAAAAATTAAATTGATATGCATTTTTATCTAAATCATTAAAAAAAAATTAAAAAATAGATATCTAACACATTATCATTCCTAATATTGGAACGTCTTCTGTTAGCATTAGTATTGATTTTATTTTGAATTGGGCTTTATTTGTTATGGACTATAAGATTTATTGAAGCATACAAAAGTTCTAAGTTCAAACTTGAAATAACACGTTGAAAGACAAAACTATAAAAAAAGTTTAAGAAATATTCATAAATTTTATATATATATATATATATATATATATATATATATATATATATATATATATATATATATTAGAATAAATGTTTTTATGTATTAAATATACTTAAAATTTCTATATATGTAATGTCGGGTAGGCTTGGTTTCGGTTTGACTTCTTTTAGTTAAAACCAAACCAAACCAATTATGGTCGGGTATTTTTTTTTCAACATCAAACCAAATCATAGTCGGATTTTTTTTTCTCTGTTTGACTTAGATTGTCATTTTGGTACGGTTTATCGGTATCCTTTGTACATATCCCTAGGCGCAAGTATAAATACAAATTACAGTTTCACAAATATTTAGTTAGGTATGGAGCTTTTATTTAAATCGTGCAGAAAAATGTACCAGCCAACATTACAAAGAGTTTCAATTTTATAGTCAAATATAGGGGCAATATACATTTATCATTTATTCCGATTTAAGTGGAGTATTCTCTTTTCTGGAGCACAGAGATATTTTTAGGAGACGGCGATATTGGTCGAGTGTAGGGTGCTAGTAGTTTACAAGAGATTTAGTAAATGACTCTAAAATTGATGAATGTTAAATTTAAAATTAGAATGACTTGAGATAATCACATCCCAAGAACAAGCTGCAATTAAATTACTTGAAACTAGAGCAAATTCGGACAGAGATGTTACAATATTAAATGATTTAATTCCAGGAAAGTAATACTCGTTGAGAGATCAGTATTACGTGTTTGAGATATTTTCATGGACTACATTATTTTCTTTTTTACTAAAAACCATCTTAGAAGACGGGCGGATTTAGGGGTGGAAGGGGGTTCCAAAATTCCTTAGCCGAAAAATTGCATTGTATATATAAGATAAAATCTGTTTGTTACCTCTATATATTATGTTTTAAATCTCCTTAACCACAACTCAAAAGCATAGCACAGTGGTCAAGGGGGCCTTTGTGAGGTTGTTGTTTCGATTTCTGCTAACTACAATCTCTTTTTTCTATTTTTCAACCCGTTAGCGAAAATTCTGCCACGGTTAGGAGAGACCCTATGTGTTTGTGTCCATCATGTTTTGGGATAAAATATTTGCCTAAGAACCATTAACTTGGCGGTGAATTTTATCCAGTGACAAGACCTAGCTAGTACTTGTAGCTACCTTATAAATGCCACAACTATATACTATTTTTACGATATTAAACTCTTTTACGTACGATATTATGTTTTAATTAACCGATGCATTAATTTTATGGTAAACCGTAAATACATGGGAAAGTGATTATTAGGGGTGGCAAAATAGTTAAAAGAAAATAGTTATTCGCCCATATTATCCATTAAAAATTGGTTGGATAATGAACTTTTTAAAAACGGGTCAAATATGGATAAGAACCATATTATCCACTTAGAAAATGGATAACTAATGTGTTTAACTTTTACATTTGTAACGTCTAAAATTGGGGGTTTCTCAAGTTGCAAGATTAGGAACTCTCCCAAAAGTGATTATATTCAAGAAGCCATGGATAATATGAATATCCGCCAGTCAGTGGCGTACGCAGAACTTTTTGTAAGTGGTATCGTATTTACATAAATAAAAAAAATATTATTTAATATTATTTTCCCACAAGTTGAAAGCCTTGGCCTAATGAGTTAGTTGAATATTACTGGAAAGGGAGGTGTAAGTTCAGTTCTCCATAGCCTCAAATTTTTAACAAAAATGCTCGCTCAAATATCTTCTAAAAATTGGATATTTAGGTACGACCTTTATAAGTCCAAATACAAGCTTCGGACCAAGGAGTACTCTCTACTATAAAAGCGGTGTCATTACTATATATTATTTTTGTAAAATAGTAGTATAAAAATTTAATATTTTTTTCCGGCAAAGCGCATGACACCGATTCCACCCATGTGCATCCGCTCCTGCCGCCGGTTAACCCGTTTTTTATCCGTATTAAATATGGGTAGGGTCGATAATTTATCCGTTTTCGACCCGCTCAGAGCCGACCCGCCAGTTTGTCGCCCCTAGTGATGACACTGAAAGAGTTTAAACGTAAATGAGAGTAAGAATATTGACTTACAAGATCAATCCAACCTGCAAACGATAATGCTGAAGCTATGACGAGAAACAAGAAAATTAGGAACGCTGTCACAAAGGTTGTTTCTGTTGCTGATCTCTTCATCACATATTTCCATCTTGCTGAGTTCTTCTGCAACACATAAGTCCTTAGCCAGAAAACATTCATCAACTTCTCGTTCCTCTCTTTCATGCTTCCTCCTCCTCCTCAAATGTCCAATTGCCAATTTATTATACGTAATATTGTTATAAACTAACCTAGAAAAATAAAACTTGAGTTTAATAACAAACTTGGAGAAGTCTCCGTTGTCTAACAAACTTGGAGAAGTCTCCGTTTTCTGCTTTATTTTCTTCACACAAAAAAAATCTCACTTTTCACATCCCATGAAAGATAGAAACATAGATAGTATTTTTGGTGTGTGTGTGTGTGTGTTGGGAAGGGGGAGGAAAGAGCTGTATTAACGAGAAGTACTGTGTTTAATTTATTGTTGTAAAAAAGTAACATACTCCAATTGATGGCGTTAATGTATTAAGAACTGGAATATTGAAGAGAAATAGTTAATGAGAGAATAGTAATTTAGATGATGACACATTTCGTATCTTTCTCGCTTGTTGAAACTGATTGAGATATTCATGCTAGTTTTTTTGTGGAAGTATCAATACATTCCAATTCTAAGTTGATCTCCAATCTGATACTCTCTCGGCCCTTTATGTACGTGTTAATTCTTGTACAATAAAATTCCACGCTAAGCTCTTAATTCGATCTACTGCTAATATGTTCATACGTAATTTATTCAAAAGTATATATACTGCCAGGATTTTTATTTATTTATATATAAATATAAGGTAAGATAGTAGTGTGTGTGTATGACCTGAGAACGAGAGCCTAGACTCATAACTCTAGCTAATTTACGTTCATTAATAATAATTTATAGAAAAACCCAATAATGGCGGGGTGATGACGGCGGACGTTGGTGGATGTGGCTGGCGGTGATAGCCGTACGATAATGACTAGTGATGGTGGTGATCGTAGTGTTTGTGTAGTGGTAGTAGATAAAGTGGTGGTAAAAGATTAGCTTCACATAAGTGAACACGTCTTAGTAATAAATTAAATAAAACAAACCTATATAGAGCAAATAACTGAAATGTTGTAAAAGAAAGGAAAAAAATCACATACACTTCATAAATTAGACATAAAAACAACTTGGATGCACTATACTAGGAGTAGAATCACCTTATATACTTCGAGTTTTTTTTTTTCCTTTCACATAATTAAGGTGGATCACCTTATAAACACACTATTGTTCGAACTATCTTGCTTCAGATTTTATTAAACAAGGCTTGGTCTGACTTAATCATTTGTTATGCTTCAATTCTTTAAATTCAGGGTGATGAAATTTCTATTAACAAAGAAAAACTGACCTTATTGTAATACCCAACTTAGAGAAATCCGGAGTATTCGGCAGCAAAGCATAGAGTCAAAGCAATAGCTGATATTATAGACTAATTAATCCTTCATCCACATGCAAAGCTACCACAAATTACACTTCACGAACACAGAATCTATTCTAAAAGAGTGAAGCAAAAAGGGAGGTGAACAGATGAAATATTACCTAGCTATATAAAGTTCTTCTAGTCATTTACTTTTCTAAATGTAAATGATTATCTTGTGAGATTAACAAGTATAAAGTCATGTTTCACTGCAAAGGTGACTAACGTGACTTGATTTGGGGCTGGACTAAACTGCAATCTAAATGATATATATGTTAACGAAGTGTGTAGAACCTTGTGAATGCTCTAAGAAGATAATTACAGTAAAATCACATTAGTTTTGTGTCTTAAGTGAGAATACAGCAAAGTGTTAATTAGCATGAAACTAGAGAGTAACATGTGACTGAACCCCAAGAAGGAAATAAAGCATTTGAGTGACTTTAACTAAGCACTGCAGTGACGGACGCACGTGGTGGCAAGTGGGTTTAAGTGAACCCGCTTCATCAAAAAATAATACTGTGTATATGTAATAATTACGATTAAACTGCGTAAATTTTGTATAAATATTTTATTTAAACCCACTTGACAACTACTATTTTACAACTAAAGTTATGTACTTCTAAGATTGAACCCGCTTGCACAAAATATTGGGTCTGCCACTGAAGCACTGCCCAAAGTAGTCATAAAGCAAATCATAGAGACAGCATAAGTATAAAGCAAATCGCGGTGACAGCATCCTTTGACATGCATAATTCATTAGGGCTCAGATTTTCATTTTTCCGGTGATCCCTTCAATAACAGGGGAAGAAATTTGAAGTCACTTGCAAGAAACCTAACTAATTCCCCTGTCAAACAACTTCACAGAGCGCTAAACTGAAAAAAACGTCACGTAATTTGGCCTATTCCCCTGTCAATTCAATGAAGGTGTTCACCCGGATTTGGGCTCATACTATCAGCCTCCGCTCCAAAATGACCCGCGACCCATGTTCAACTCTTCAACCATCAAATACATTCACAAATCCACCATTGTACCTGCAAGGCACTATCTTGCTTTTTTCAATTTCTTTTCAAACTATATCTTCTGAATCACTTGCAATAAACTTAACCAATTTACACATTAACGATGTTATACCTCATTTTCAGTCATGCAACGTATCTTGGGCAGCAACTCACTTCACGGAGCCATAAATGAGAAGATCTCAAAATCTTGAGGCTTCAGAAACCAGTTCTTGAAATTTGAACTGCCTTTAAAGGTTTTTGAAGCTAAATTATATTCTCTCGACTTATCCTGCAAACGATAGAAGAAAGCGGTGAAACGCTCTGTTTCCGCTGATTTAGCTCTATTGCTACGAAAATATTAGTCTCTTCAGTTCACATAAAGTGAACAGTATAAGTTATCACATTAGAAAATATGCATTTTCTTTTTTTTTTTTTTTTTTGAGAAGGAAATATATGCTTGTATTTGTATCCAAACAACTGCATGCCACCTTTATTGTTATGGAAATATTAGTCTCTTTAGTTCACCCAAAGTAAACATAAGAAAGTTATCACATAAGAATGTAAATATCAATATTTTTCTGGTAAAATATGCAAATATTTCTATAAAAAGAATAACATGTCACCTTCAGTTCTCGATAAGAGCTCTCAACAAAAGCATGTTCACTTAAGCAATTACGTGATAGTGATAAGAAGGACTCCAAAAAGCGCTTCCTGAAATGATTATAGTAGATGTTATTTCCAACAACTTACAAGATATTTCCACATACCATGGATAAGCCTATGCAAACTTTTAAACGTCAGAAAGGACAAAATACTAAAAGCACATTATATATAACACAATTTGCACATTAATTTAGTAAAATTAACAAATTGTGCGACTCCTTACTAAGCATCAGACTGAATTTCTAAAATATTACCCCATGAAAATGAAGATTCATAGCATTAACAATGCTACAAATTTTTCTAAAATCTATTCCTTGATGAGCTTACTTGCATAGAGAAGACTCAGTGGAAGGAGACAATGCGCCTTTCGCAGAAGTACCCTGCTTCCTGCCAGTGGTTCCAAGTATGACTTCATGCAACCCAGACTTGTTCCAGCATATGGAGTAACTTGAAAGCAGAATACGCTCTTTGAGAAGAAAAAAAGAAAAGCAAGTACCAACAGATTATTCACCTGGAATAAGGAATATACTGTGAAACCTACCCACAAGTTAAAGTGGTGAGAGCAGTTTCAGAATGTTGAAACTCCTCAGGTGGAGTTGGCGCTACAAAGACAAGTGGCTGTAAAAGGGAAAGGAAGAAATGTAACATATATACAGTGATGATAAGATGAAGAAGCACGACTAAATCAAATTGTGCAGAAACCTTTTTCACTTGGAATGGATCGATTAAATTGTTGGACAGTGGTAAGATCCGCTCATATACAGCTCTCATAATTTCAACTTCAAGAATGGAGGTTTTAGAAGCTATATGGGACTGTCCAATGGTCACAGAAGAGATATAAATTGGATCCAAGAAGTAAGAAAGTAGAGCTCCTGCAACAAGAATGGTACTTGACTGAAAGTAGAAACAACATAGAACTTCCGGTAAATACTAAATAATCACTCCAATAAGTAAGAAAGCAAAGCTCCTGTAATAATAAAAATAATAATATAATCACTGGCTTGAAGTAAAAAACACTGACAATCACCAGAAAATTCTAAATAGAAACTTTTTGTTACAGGACATATTCAAAGCACACTAAAGAGGAAGTCTTCGCAAAGCATATGATTATACATCAACAACTACTTTGCAATCCCACGAAACAGACGACAGACCATCCATGCCATTGCATATTGAATAGTCAGATGTACCCATGTGTTTTATTGAAAAGACTGTATGTGTTAGTAACATGCAGGTATTTAATGGGAATTCATAATAATCCAAACTCCACGAAAGATGGGGATTTACAGCGATTATCAATCTAGTAAAACATCCGATACTTTCATATAGCTGCTAATCTCAAATAACTAAATGAAATGAAAGATGATTTAACACATCAGTTTAGTAGATCTAGAGAAACAATTATCGGTGTACAATATAAAACAAAAAAATTAGAACACGATAAGGAACTTGTGCTATAACAGCTTCTACACTATTCAAAAATTCTGAGAAAGGTAACAGTTTCTATATACGTCAGTCCTCATTAGTTATTTCTAAAGGTTTCTTTCATTGGCTTTGGATGTTTAATTACCGAAAGCATATCTAACAAAAGGAAATATAAGGAACCTTGTACACCGACCACGTTCCAACGGGCAATCTTATCAGAGCAGCTGACTGACAAAGTTGTATCTCCACGGCCAGGTTTTCGCAAGACTGTGCCAAAGGCCACGGGACAACAACCTGAAAGGATAAAATCTGAAATTATTCTTAAGAAAAGAATAAACAGATATGAGAGACGGCCATTTACTTATCATTCAATCCCTCTCTCTCTTTCCCTCCCTCCTCTTTTTTAGTTTTTTACTTGCTTTTAAGTTATGAGGGGAAGATAGCACTTTGGGTTTCCTAAATCTATTCTCATACAACACATGAACCACTATTTAGGACCTAGTGATTGGCGAAAAGTCTTAAGACTACTAATTTTTGTGAATTTCTAGCATAGTACTTTTTTTTATAAGTAATTTCTAACATAGTACCTCACAAGGAAGAAGATAAGTTCAAAGAGCGGGTGACAACAGTTCATACGGGTAAAAAGGACCACTAACCCATAAAGACAGCCCACAAAAGATAGGGGTTTGGACTGGATATTGAGCCCTATGGATTGAGCTTGAACAGCCAAAAGATGTAGAAAGAAAGAACAAAATATATGAACTGAGTGCTTGAAGGTGGTCAGAGTGGAACTGGGCTATAGACTTGCGACCAGGCTTGGAGTCTTGATCTAAGGATCCACCTTGCTGATCTTGCCTTAATATGCATGCCCATTCAGGAACCAACTCAGCCTGACCGGGGAACAAAGCTAGCATTAAGCACTCTAGCAAAAAAGATCTAAATAAATGAAGATTCTACCCCCACTTGGGATTACTTTAAACAGTAACTGAGTCAACAAATCTGAGTAACAAATGACTCAACAGATTTTATATGACAAGGAGGGGTGCACAAAAGGCATTACAGGAACTGGCTATACCCAATGTTACTAATATGGTCATACCATCATCCGTTGTAGTATATCCCAATGACTCCCCTTTTGAATAACTATGTTGCATAGATGAGCACATCATGTCCCCTTTCTTTGAAGGACTATCCCACAATGAAGAGCGTTCTGAATTAGATGAAGCAACTCCACCTGCAAAGAAGCTAGCACAATAACTAAATCGAAAAATAGAGAGTTCTAGTCTTACATGAAAATGAAGAATGGGCTTTAAAACTGATAACAGGCTACCACTACCTACAGGGTGATTGTGATATGTACAAATGTAACTGCCACCCCTGTTTCATTTTCAATCTCTTTGGTCCTAAACCATCATTCTCCAAATGGAACATGAAGTTTGCCACATCGTCACATAATACACTTCCATTGCTATCAAGAGTACTGTAAACATGTTGAATCTCTGAATACAAGTACCTGGTGTGATCAAAAAAAATCTTTACACCTAGACATATCCTTGATCACTCAATATATAACACTCACATAACAGACACTAGCACTGCAGCACATGCACAAAGTCATGAAATCTTAGAATTAAGACTTTCATCTTCACTCCAGAAATATCATTTCTTTGAGCTGAAATGAAAGGTCTATCACTTCCTGTGAATAGAATCAAAGACCAGCTTCTGCTAAAGGTGAAGAGTGGACTGGTAGGAGGACCAAGGTTCATCCGAAATTGTAAGAAGGCCCCTTCCCATATTACCAGACAACATGAGAGGAAACATATTATTTCCAGTCCCTTTAAAATCCATTCCCTTTTAGCTGTTAAATACAAGACCTAGTAATATAGTCCGTCAACTTATTATGCTGATATGCCAAAGTATGGTCAGTTGGTGATGGATGGTCTCACGATGAAAAATGAGAATTGTTTGATACAACTCAAACAAGTAGGCGTCCATGATTGAAACTTATTCTTGCACGCAATTATAACATTCAAATTTAATATGTGGAGTAAAGGTCCAGATTTCCATGTACCATCCGAAATTGCTTAATTTTGCTTCCAGTTACACTTTTGGTCGCCTAATACCCTCGCTGTTAGCAAACCATCTTGTACTTGCTCTTTCCATTGACAAAGCTCCGGCGTGAAATGGATAGATTCCACGTGTCTAAATTGTTCAAGAGAAAAAGGTCCAAATTTAGCCCTGAACTTTGGACTAGGGTTTAACATTATCCTTAGTTGGAGCTTCATTAGAGGTCAAGGGCAAAAAACAAAACTTTTTCCTAACGACATGGGTAATATTAAACCAAAAGTTTAACAAAGGCTAAAGTTGATCAATTTCGGATAGTACATAGATTTTTTTTGAAATTCTAAAAAATCCAATTCAATGAGATGCTTTGATCTTCCTACTTCAAAGATTATTCTTTTTAAAACAGAGAAAGTAACATTGATTTCCTCTAATTCAGCAAATGGAAAAACGAGCACAAAAAAATACCTAAGTAGAGCTCTTCTAGCGATAATTTCAGCATGAGAATCATTCACAACATCGCCTTTCGAGCTCCGTCGCGAACGCCCTATGCATTTCGTCCCCGTTCCCACTGATATCACTTTCAGTTCTGCAAATAATAAACAATTATGTTTACTCCAGCAAAAATAGCAACTATAGAAATTCGAAAATTTCAACAGTTAAATGACTCCAACTTTTCTGGGACCTTGGGAAGGTGAAGAGAGAAGAAAAGCAGCCAAAACAGTGACTTCACGACCCTGAGGTTTTCCTTTCTTTGGCAAACGCCGGTATATTGAGAGAACTGCTTCTGATACTTTCTCTCCCCACGGTTTCTCCGGTGTCGGACCCGCCGTCCGTTCTCCGGTGGCGTCCATATTTTCAGTAAGTGTGAAGTAGAGTAGTAGACTGAAGGTTTTCTCGCTTGGGCCTTATTTGGAATAGCCGAAGCCTTTAAAAGTTGAGAAAATGACCTCTATAGCCCCCTCAAAATTTTAATATCCCATTTTTTTCGGGAATGTGCCATGGTGCATGCTATTCGCCGGTGACATAGTTCTGATTGATGAGTCGCGAGCCGGTGTTAACACGAGGCTGGAGGTTTAGAGACAGGCTCTTGAATCTAAGGGTTTCAAGCTTAGCAGGATGAAGACGGAATACCTGGAGTGTAAGTTCAGCGCTGAGCAAGGGGAAGTGGGCGTGGATGTCAGGCTTGAATCACAGGTCATCCCGAGTCGAGGCAGCTTCAAGTACCTTGGGTCGGTTATCCAGGGCGGAGGGGAGATCAACGAGGATGTCACACACCGTATTGGGATATGATGGATGAAGTGAAGGTTAGCACCTGGAGTATTATGTGACAAGAGAGTGCCACTGATACTCAAAGGTAAGTTCTACAAAGCGGTGGTTAGACAAGCCATGATGTATGGGGTTGAGTGTTGGCCGGTTAAGAAATCACATATCCAAAAGATGAAGGTAGCAGAAATGAGGATGTTGAGGTGGATGTGCGGGCATACTATGATGGATAAGTTTAGGAATGATGATATTCGGGAGAAGGTGTGCGTGGCTCCCATTGATGACAAAATACGGGTAGTGAGGCTCAGATGGTTCGGGCATGTTCAGAGGAGAAGCCCAGATGCTCCGGTAAGGAGGTGCGAACGACTGGTTGTGGAGGGCACGAGAAGAGGTAGAGGGCGGCCTAAGAAGTATTGGGGGAGGTGATTAGGCAGGATATGGCGAGGCTTCAGATTTCCGAGGACATGGCACTTGATAGGAACACGTGGAGGTCGAGTATTAGGGTTGTAGGGTAGGAGGTAGTTGAGTCTTACCTTATGTCATGAGTTTGTGAGTCTAGTCTGGTAGGTATATTATTTCGCTTTTGCTTTGTATCTTTCTTCTTGATTGCATGTTGTTCCTGTTTTTCATATTATTTCTGTGATGTTACTGATATTGTCCCCTTTTATCTTTTTGTCTTCTTGAGCCGAGGGTCTTTCGGAAACAGTCTCTCTACTCCTTCGGGATAGGGGTAAGGTCTACGTACACACTACCCTCCCTAGACCCCACTAGTGGAATTTTACTGGATCGTTGTTGTTGTTGTTGTTGTTGTTGTTGTTGTTGTTGTATGTTTTCGGGGGATTTGTATCTATACCCTTTTTTTGGGTCCCAATTTAACTTATATCCGCTTTGCAAAAAAAAGAAGAGAAATCTCACTTTATACCCACTAATTCTAAACTATTTACCCTTTAATGCCCAGACCCAAACTATTTACTACTCCTACCCATGGGGCCAAACTATTTACCCGGCACCTTCTAACTTCCAAGTTCCAACTGTATACGCCTTCTTGTACTACTACAGGAGATTACTTTTCATAAATATTCATCAATACAACAAGAATATGGTCCTTGGCCAACAATTCTCTGATCAGTCTTTTGTCCCACAGAATTGAGATTTCGTGTTCAAATGATCTGTTACCATTTTCTGTTTGAAACATATTAGCTAATTTCCCAAGGCCACTTAATATGAGGGAGTAATATTTTAAGACAAGAGATCTACAGTCTTCTCCAAAATTAGTCTTGATCGATTTATACTAACTTTTAGTTTGTTTACACCTTGATTGTTCTTTCCCTAGCTCTTGCTCTTGCCTTGGCCCTTGAATTTAAAAATTTTATTTTGAAGATTTCTTGTTTGATTCAAAGTGGGTGTTGTTAAATATTGCTTGTAGTACCTTCTGGAAGTTCATTTTGAAATTTGATAGCATTTGGAGCTGATTTGAGGTGATTGAGATCGAAATATTCAGTTGAAAATCGAAGAAGAACACAGCTACAGTATACCGCTACGGTATACAATATGCTGTAGGAGTGTATAACTATACTGCAACAGTATACTATTATAGTTTACAATATACTGCAACGGTATATTGTAATAATCGAAGAAGAACACAGTTACCTAATAGTATACCGCTACAGTGTACAATATACTATAGGAGTATATAGTTATACTGCAACAGTATACTATTATAGTATACTGTAATAATATGCAATATACTGTAACAGTATGTTGTAATAATATACAATATACTATAATAGTATACTTATTACACGTAAATTCACTTGTCCTTTCCCTTTTAATTTGCTTTAAGCTTTTACCCAGCGTGAGGGGCAAACTGAAAATGCAAAAAAAAAATATATATTATAGTATGATAATAATGTAACGGTATACTCTTACAATTAGATCTTTTCAGAATTTTTTGAAATTTTTACTCACATAATTCAATTAAATTTTTTTTAACTCTTTGCGTACAATTGTATACCCTGTTGGTATAGCTATATACTATAGTGGTATCATATGTTAGTTAATATTTTTTGGCTGTATTAGTTACATTTAACTGGTACACAATTTAATTTTTCTTTAGTAATAGTATAAAAAAAGAATAATAAAAGATAGTGAAAACAGTAAATGTCTCACCCTATAGACAACATCATCACTCCTCTAGACTCTGGAGTACAAACCAGGTCAAACGCCAGAAATTCACTTGCCTTCTCAGCGTTTCTCTCCCAGATAGAACCCAAAAACATCAAGGAAGCTTTGAAAGATGCAGACTGGATTACCGCCATGCAAGAAGAACTGCACCAGTTTGAGAGAAACAGTGTGTGGCACCTGGTATCCATACCCCAGATAGAACCATTATAGGAACAAGGTGGGTGTTCAGAAACAAGCTCGATGAACATGGAATTACCACAAGAAACATGGCAAGGCTAGTTGTCCAAGGCTACAATCAGGAGGAAGGGATTGACTATGATGAAACGTTTGCTCCAGTGGCCTGGATGGAAGCTATCAGAATTTTAATCGCCTTTGCATCTCATATGGAATTCACCTTGTTCCAAATGGATGTCAAAAGTGCATTTTTGAATGGAATCCTTAAGGAAGAAGTCTATGTAAAGCAACCCCCAGGGTTTGAATGTCATGAGCACCCTGAATATGTGTTCAAGCTGGACAAAGCTCTGTACGGGCTAAAGCAGGATCCTCGAGCTTGGTATGAAAGATTGTCAAAATTTCTCTTAGAAAATGGTTTTAAGAGAGGGAAAATTGACAATACTCTTTTCTTAAAGAAACGAGGAAGGAACCTGCTCATTGTTCAGGTTTATGTTGATGATATCATTTTTGGGGCAATGACTGACTCGCTGTGTGAAGAGTTTGCAAAACTTATGGGAAGTGAATTTGAAATGAGCATGATGGGAGAATTAAACTTCTTCCTGGGTCTTCAAGTAAAACGGTCTTCAAAAGGTACTTCCATTTGTCAGCAAAAATACATCAGGGAACTTCTGAAGAGGTTTGACATGGAAGCATCGAAGGTGATAGACACTCCCATTGCAACTGCCACTCGACTGGACATGGATGAAGCTGGAACTCCTGTGAATCAAACTATGTATAGAGGCATCATTGGGTCTCTCCTCTATCTCACTGCTAGTCGACCTGATATTGTTTTCAGCGTGGGGCTATGTGCAAGGTTTCAATCAAATCCTAAGGAATCTCACTTGAAGGCAGCTAAAAGAATACTAAGATATCTCAAAGGAACGCAAGACCTGGTGACAATTTTAATCTAATTGGGTATGCCGATGCAGACTATGCAGGTTATCTTGTGGATAGAAAAAGCACTTCTGGGATGGCTCACTTCTTAGGATCATGTCTTATCTCTTGGGGTACAAGGAAGCAAAATTCAGTGGCTCTTTTAACAGCTGAGGCTGAATATGTAGCTGCAGCATCCTGCTGTGCTCAGCTTCTGTGGATCAAGCAGCAATTGGAGGATTTTGGAGTTCTCACTGAGAGTGTGCCCCTCCTATGTGACAACACCAGCGCACTTAACATGGCAAATAATCCAGTTCAACATAAAAGGACCAAACATATTGATGTGAGGCATCATTTTCTAAGAGACAATGTGGAGAAAGGGTTGATATGCATGAAGTTCTGCAGCACAGAAGATCAAATTGCAGACATTTTCACCAAGGCACTAAGTAGGGAACAGTTTGAAAGAAACAGAGTAAAGCTGGGACTTTTGAGGCCAAATTGAGGACCAGATTCCTTTTGAGTTGGCTCATGTTATTAAGAAATAATGGGTTCAAAGTATTTTCTGGCCCTGTCTAACTCACTTCAATACCTTTGCAGGTAAACACGCATGATGAGCATAGAAGCAATAGATGCAGTACATGACTGATAAAAGAGAATTGATTTTTATTTTTAAAAAAAAGGGGGAGCCTGAAGACGAAAATGTGTCTCAAGAACCAGGTTCTTGTACAAAAGGTTAGTAGTTCTGTGCATCCCTTAATTCACGTCTTAAAAGGTACAAAATACAGCTGCCATATCATCAACTTTTCAGATTCAGCTGTCATGTCTCTTCAATTCAAACGTTCCATCTCCATCTGAAATATCACAATTTTCCACGCCCAACCGCCGTTTCAGAACCGGTGCCTATTCTTCTCCCTTCATAATTATTCTCCTTGTTTAAAAACCCCTCTCTTCTTCACTTCTTTGCCATGAGCCCTCTTCTAACTTCACCCAAAAGGGTAAAGGATCTCCACACCACCTCTCTCAATGGTTGAGAAAAATTCAGATCTTTCTGCATCATCTGTCCCCCTCTCCGACCCGTCTATGGGACTTCTCGGCGTCTCTGAGTCAGTGGTCACCCTCTATCAACCCTACCACTACAGTTACCTCTTCCCTAGCTTCCCAACCTCCTTCCAACTCGAAAACTACTGTTCTGTTCTCCCCGTCTCCTGTCGGCCACACAAGTCAAACCTCAAGTGGCGAACAAGGTCAAATTACTGAGATCACGAAAGCCTCCGCCATTGTTGCAGTCAACTCCATGGTCGTGGAAGCACCGGTTGTTGAAGAAAAGATGGTGTTTGTGGTATCCGCTGATGGGGTACTGCAGGA